CCGGATCCAAGTTTGTTGTGGGGTTTCCCCCGGGTCAGTGCTGCCAGCCACTGGAGAGGTAAGTTTTTGTTTAAATGGGGCAGCACAACACAGGGCAGACAGGGCTGGGCAGCATCACAGCCTTAGGAGAGGCTGGAGAACACATCCCATCATTTGACAATTAAGAAGTAAATAGGTTAAGGTGTTCCCTTGTTTCTGAAAATAATATTTCACTGAAACTTTGTCATTAGCAGAGATTCTTGATTAGATACTTCTTAAAATGCAAATCTAAATTATTGCAACATTGCACACTCAGATACGCCTCACTTGAATGCGCGTAACAAAGTCTTCATGGATCCTGGATTACATTTTTCAAGTGTTAGATAACGCAGTTCTGGTTTATTTTAAACATTCATCCACAGCGTTGGAGACTGCTTGTGCCAGAACACTTTGTTTTCATGCAAACAGAAACAACACTGGCTGTAAATAGGACAGGAAACACCACCCAGCCATGTTCCCTGCCTTTCGTTGCCTTGCTTCTAGGCCATGTCTTGGAGCAGTTGATACATTTGAGTTAAAGACATTATTGACAGTTTTAGCCATAGTCGAATATGATTTATTTTCAGTTTTTACTCATAGCAGGATTGATATGTACAGAGGGCTGAGTCCAAAGCATTTAACTGTTTTTTTCCAAGAGTAAATCTATCAAGATATCTAACTTAATGGCTTTTCTCCTCCTTTGCTGTGGAATGACTTCCACAAGTCAAAATATTTCTTCTGGGATTACCAGTGGTACTGTCTGCCCTCGCTGCTTTCAGCAGCAGTGATGAAGTGGATAGAGAAGTTTGGCAGAATGGGCTTCCAGACACACAGCTCCAGTTCCTTAGCAACTGAAGACCAAGGCCTGGCTTGAGCATTTTTTTTTCCTTTAGTTTTTACTGTTTGGTGGCCATTATGCTTCATAATCTGCAACCCTTGACCTAGAACAAAAGATGACCTGTAGCAAAGGAAATAATAAACTAGCATGGAAGGTAGGTTTGACAACGATGCAAGATGCTAGGAATTTCTTTGCTGGCACAAGCGTGGTTCAGTTCTCGGGAGGCAGAAGTGGGTTTAGCTGAGTAACTCAGGATGCAGGTTTTTCACTTAAGTGGTTGCCTTAATGACTCCAACTTTTCATGTAAATACAGAACATTAGCAGGAGCCTTGAAGTCCAATTAGATTGAAGAAAGCTCAGGTAAGTTGGTAGGCAACTATAGGCCCAGGCTGGTATGACAGCTGTAGTTAGCTACTTTTTTCTTTCACATAGCTTTACAAAATGCTACAAATGTTGACAGGATTTGCTTATCTTCTCTTTTTTGAAGAGAACGATGTCAGCAAAGATAGATTAAAAACAATCATATGACAGAACTGTAAAGATACCTAAAGATGGGGGGGGCAGCACCCTTTTATTCCTGTTCTAAAACAAGACATCCTGCCAAACCACAGACTGACGAGCAGTGTCTGTTCTGCTGACTTTCAGATGTTCTCCCACCTGTTAGATTTCTGTTTCTTAGCAGTGGTGAGGAAGCAGATTTGTTTGGAAGAAGCACGATAATACAGATTCTGCATCACATAATCACCCCTTCTGCTTGTCTGTGAGCAACTGCACCTGCTTGAGCTGCTCCAGCTGCTGGAAGGATTCACTGCAGCACATGTGGGTTTGGGAAAGATGGCTGCTGTCCTCTGAAAACAGGATAGCCACCTGAAACTTCATCACTGCTGAGGTCCTACCCTTGCGTTAAAAAATTGAAGCTGGAAGGATGTTGAGTAGCTGCTGTGGCTTCATTACAGCAACTTCCTGAGGTCAGCAGATGTGCACCATGGAGTTGGAATGACTTCATTTATCAGTAGGTCTATAAGCAACACCTTTTCAAGCGAATCACAACAGAACCCACACAACACCCTTAACACAAAACTTGAATTAACTTTATTTTCCCCTACAGTCAACAACTGGGCTGCATTGAGCTTTAAAGCAACAAAATAAAATGAAATCTCCAAACGACAGGGGGCCAGAAATCCAGATTTAATTACCTTTGTGAAGATGTTGCAGCTGTACTATTGGTCTGTATAAACCATTGGAGTCAAAAATGAGTTCATAAATCAAAAACAAATATTCTACACCTTGGGAAAGAAGTCAGCAGTAA